TTTATTTTGCCTTAATTATAAAAATATGGTTAATCCTACAACAAAAACCCCAAAAAATCAGAGTTTCAAACCTTGCCTAAAGTTAAAGAACATTCTGCAAATTTTCATTAAAATATTCCTTTTTTAATTACGATTTTTAAGAAAAAATTGGGTGTACCCTTTTTCAGCCCATTTAATTTTAGTGTAATAAAGTAGGCAAGTTTNGAAGGCATCGCTCATTTTCTCCATATGCAAAGAATTATCGAACATACACAACGATTTTAACAGCTTCCTTTTCAATGTTTAGAAAATGAATCGGCTTGAACGCGCCGCTTGGATTCTAATGGATCTAATCCAACCGCCAATTTCCAAGGGTTACATGATACGTCCAGGCGGTAAGTCGCCACCGGAAATAGTTGATCTCGTCTCAGAGTTGGGTATTTTTGGCGTAATAATTGGCGATGTGGACAATATAATTTGCAATTATCAAGCGGGTCATATGCTGCGCACTAAACTCTCGACTGCGAACGAGGGCGGTGTTGCCGCGGGACTCGGCGCACTGGATAGTCCCTATTTACTGGATTAGTGTTTTAACATATTGTAGTTTGTATTTTATAAATTTTTAGTAAATTTTGGCACAATCTTTTTTCTTAAGCTGCAACGATGAAATTATATTTACACCTTTACCGCTTTACAAAAAAAAATGTGTATGTAAATCCAGTACATAATTTATTTTAAATATCATGTCTAACTTTTCTACCTATTATGATTATCTTTGATCAATTTCCATAAAATTATTTACCCAACATTTATACAATGTACAACGCTATACAGAAATAAAATACGAAAGCGCCATTTTTTAATACAAATCATATTTAATATATATGTATTTGCATTGAGTAGAACATGCCACAGAAATAATCAAAAATATATAAACATCGCCATTTAGAATCACTAAGAAAGAAACAATTAAAACACAGAGATAATTTTGACCTCAGGACACTACTACACATCTTCATATACAAATACACTTCATCTTGGGGGGGGGGGGCCTGTTAGGCGTATCAGGGCAGTGAGGGTTGAGTAGAAACATAGTCGTTCGTGCGCTTACTTCCACTACTGCTTCTGTTGCTCGGGACAGGCCATTTGGTATAGGAACTGTATCATGGTGCGTGTTGGGCGACCCGTCATACGATCCTTCAGCAAATACGGCAAGGTGCCATATTTTGTCAGCATTCCAACGCCTCGAATATCTAAATGTGCCCAGTCCACACAGGGAACAAATTGCTGTGCAAAGAAAATAGAGACAAGGGGGAAAAATAACGATAAAATAAGCCACCTGATAGAAAACATCATTGCTTACATGCAAAATGGCAGCCGCTAGGCAGGATGAAGCTGGTCCTTTACCAGTATTGCAGACGTCAAAACTAACATTGTCTACAAAAAAAAAAAACAAAAAACATTGAAAAATTAATCAATCTAAACACACATGAATGATCGCTCGATTAATGTGTACTCACTTGTTACCAGGTACTTGTAGTAGTTCCAAAGTGGTAAGCGCCACATGCGATCGCCTGTTAGTGAGCCAGCTTTTTGAAATTGCTTCCAAATGTAGTGCGAGTTGGAAAATATGCCTGTTGCACCACCACCCAAAGCTTTCTTAACGCCTATACCCAGCGTAGCAACGTCGACCACAAGTCGAGGTTTGTAGGTGGTCTGAGCATAGATCAATGGATCCGCCATCACGACAACACCCGCCTTATCCGTATCCTATAAACAAAGTGTTAAATACGAGAATATTTCAATGGTTTGGATTCAATTTCATGCTTACACTTATTGCCAATGATTTGCCGTTGAGCAACGTGACTACGTCACCTGGTTTGCAAGCCATACCCGAAGGCATATTCTCGCAAAGTGGTATGACAGCAGAAATATTGATAGGTAGCGATAGAGCAGCGGCGGCACGAATGGATGCAACCACAACCGCAGCACCGGCCATGGCGCCACGATACTCATCCATACCCTTGCAAGTGCGCAAGCAGATACCACCGCTAAAAATAATCGATAATCAATTAGTGAACTAAATAATTTTTTCATAATAACACGGTGTTACACTGACCATAAACTTTTTAAGTACAGTACAGGTCGTAGAGCTGGTTTAAAATTTTTGTTACACCCTCAAATTCTGAACTTATTCTTAAAAACCGTTTTTACAGGACTTGCCCGGTTATTTTTTACCCAAATTGAAGTTTTAAGATGGCTTCGAAGAAGAATATTTATACTATTGGGGGATTCACAACGGTGTCGTAAGCATCCTATTGTTGCATCGCGTAAACTTTAAAAGCTTAAATAAATGTTTAGAGAACTTAAAACCACAATCAACTATTTTTTAACACTGTGAAAATTCATAATATGACTGTGATAGTACTTTGCGAACCCTCTTAATATATTTTTTAGGCGTTTAAAGTTTACGACATACAACAATACGACACTTACAACACGGTTGTGAATACCCCAAATGTATTTAAAGATATAATACGTTTTAGTTTTTGGAATAAAAAATGTTTGCAAAAAAACCAAAAAAAGTAAATGTGGAAAAATAAAAAAAAAATGGTGCAAATTTCAGATTCCAAAAACTATCCACATATTTACATTGTCCTCATAAAACTTATTATTTCTCTCAATAGTACAAATATTGTTCTTTCTTAAGCCATATCAAAACTTAAAATTGGTTGAAAAATAACCGAACTAAAAATTGTTTAGTGCGGGAGTCATGCGAAAATGGTTTTTTAAGAATAAGTTGAGAATTTGAGGGCGTTAGAAAAATTCTTAAAACAGTTTCGTGAATTACTTATTCTGTAACACCTTGTAACTACTAATTTTCATTTTATTTTTTTGTTTAAATTCATGTTTCTAAAGTTTATTTTAGTTTTTTATTTATTTTTTTCGTTAAAAATTTATCTTCGTTTTTGTATTTAATTTTTTATTCAATTATTGAATTTTTTTTTATTCAATTATTTAATATTTTTATTCATTAATGCTATTTAATTTATAATACCCTTTGATAATTCTAAATAATTTTGCATCTTACCTATTGAATGTCATACCCTTGCCCAACAACAAGATTGGCTTTTCTTCAGGCGCTGTGCCGCAATAGCTAATCTCTAGCAGCACAGGTGGCTCACATGAACCCTTTGCAATCATTAAAAACGAATTGAGATGTTGTTGTTCGATCCACTCCATTGTACGAATCTCCACCGTGACACCACAAGGGCACAATGCATCCACAGTCGCTTGTGCAAATGCGGTGGGTGTCATTTGATTAGCTGGACCATCACTTAGACGCCGAGCAAGATTTTGTGCTTCAGCTTTGAAGAGACCACGCGTCCAAGCGTCAATGTCGGGTGAGTCGTACAATTCCAATTTGGGANTGAAGAGACCACGCGTCCAAGCGTCAATGTCGGGTGAGTCGTACAATTCCAATTTGGGAGTCCCGGTTCGGTCTTTTTTCCTTTTGTTGTCCTGATAACGCCATATCGCTAGAGCACTACCTTCGGCAGCTTGTTCGGGGTACTCCATGGAATCGACGAAGACCTCTGAACAACCTTGCATCTGTAGGCTGCGGGCACCGACACCAGCGGCGACCCGAACATTTTCCTAAATTATCGCGAAGTGGTACGTGATTGCAGAAAATCATTTAAAAAATTAATCGTTTTTCAAATTGGACAAATTTTTTGGGCATCGAAACGGAAATCGTAACTAAAGCTTTTCAGTTACTCAAAAATAGGATACGGTAGTGCAATTTTCATTACATTACAGATTTTTTTTTGTGAATGGAAAGATTTTTCTGTCAAATAATTTTTTCAATGACGGCATATTCGTAAAATTTTAATTGTCATTTTACTAAAGATTTTTTTAACTTTCTTTGTTGTCAAAGTTTAAAGTCTTTTAAATTTAAAGCCTTTTATAATATTGCGAGTGTATGGATAGTTTCACTACTTACCATGCCTTCGTCCAACATTTCCAACTCATTGAAACCGGCGCCCTCACGTCCAACACCGATCACTGCTATAGACCGAAACTCCTGATCAATATTGTTGAATACTTTCCCCCTACCCAATTTTCCGGAAAGATTCGTTCTAGGATCGCGATCATCCGAAAATTCGGAAATTAGTTTACAGGCTACCAGTTAAATTCTATGAAGATAAAAACTTACTCTTTGATTAATTCCGATACTTTGCCCTGTACACGATCATCGAATTTCTCCCCGCTTGATGTTAGCTTTGGTTCTTTCTCACCCTCCTTCTGATACAGTCCAATCACAAGTCCTTTCTGGAATAAATCACACAAAAAATCAGCATTGCGTAACAACAAGTGTTTTCAAGAGCAATGCGATCCGATGCTGTCGAAATGGCTTTAAACAGTTGACGCTTACCGTTACACGCGAATCATCGGCGTAAAACCTCCGATAGACTTGTTGCAATTTTTTCACATTTCCAAATCTCCGCAGAGATCCAGTTAGCCAATTTGCCATGCGTATCGAGGACATATTTTGCAAGTAGTTTTATTGATTTAATTTTAATTATATCCTTTTATGCAAATTTTTATATATAAAACGGTTTTCAGCTTAAAAATTTTCAATAAAAAATAAATTTGAAATTTAGATTTGACTGAATATTTTTCACAGCTTGTTACAGTTCGTTCAGTGTCTTGATTGATTTACAAAGTGCAAATTTGCAGTACAGTTTCAAAGTGATCTTGAATTATTTTAGATAATTTTTTTTTCTATGGTAGATCGTTAACTTGACACAATATTGATTAACTCATCCGTTCAATATTTAACCGAATGTAAGAATGGAAATAGTAGTTTTAATGTTTTTGTTCGTTTAAATTATATTATAAATATTCATATAGAATAGAAGATAATACCGCTACTTAATCCCTCGCATAGTAAGAAAATTTAAAATAAAAATTCTTAGCCTGGCCTTAAACCCCAGAGTACCAGTCTTTTGTTTATGAAGGGTTGAAAATGTGCATAGCGATATTTTAATAAAGGTGTATGTATGTATGCATTTAGGCAGTTATTAAAATGTCGCAATTTTTTGTGTTTTTTTTTCCAAAATGCCGCTACGTGGAACTCGTCGAATTTTGCCTATTTTCAATACCAAACTACCTGAAGCTGTTATTATCTTACCATGAGGCCATGAGAGCAGAAGTGGCCTAACCCGAATTTTTTTTTGTGTGCTTCCCTATTTAAAATAGTCTTAAATGAGATAATTTTAAAATACAGTCGCTTACATAACCTATCATCAAAATAAGTAATCATGCCTATTACGGTATCCGACGGATGCCTTCCGCACGGATCTAACTCGATTCACACTGTCATAACAAGCGAATGAGAAGGATTAGATTCATGAGAATGGGATCCCTCGGAAACACCTATTCCGGTCCGACAGATACCATTCGCACGAATCTAATCTTTCGCACTCGCTTATTCCGACAGTGCGAATCTGATTAGATCCGTGCGGATGGCATCCGTCGGATACCGTAATAGGCATGAATAATCGACCTCTAATTTAAGATTTGTTACATTTGAAACTATTTTAAGAATTTAAGTACAAGAAAAAAATTGTGGGTTACGCCACTTGTACTCTCATGGCCTCAATTCTACTTCAGTTATTTGTAACGGACAGAATTACATACATATATGACTCGTAAACTGGCAAAATGGAGGGGTTTTTGTCGTATTTCAAAAATGTTCAATACCTTAATAAATGTCGCAGATTTTGCACCTGTGTGTAATCAAATCTTGAACTAATGTTTTAACCAACTTCCCGATGAGCTAGAGACTTGAGACTCTGAAACTGTATAACGGCTTAAATTTTATTTAAAAAAGATCGTGTATTTAATTGTGCTCCGTTTTTTGCAATATTTTGCTTTTATTTAAACAATTTTCTTACGAATCTACATACGTATATGTAAGTATGTATACATATAACACTATTAAATAGAACATTCGCTATAACAACGTGCGTAATAGTAAAATACGCAAGCATTAAATTGCACCTCTACCAATTAAAAAATAAAGCGTTTCATGTTCTATTAGAACCATTTCCTGTAGGTAGCATCCATGAGCTTATCAGTAAATTTGTCTATTGGGCCAATAATTAATGGAATTGAACACAAACCAATAGCGGTGGGCGTTATTTTTCTAAAGGCTTTTCTAACGTCGGCTTTGCGCATGAGATAACCAGTTAACCATGTAATTCTGCAACAAAAAAAAAAAAAACAAATTTATTAGATACCTAGATCAGTACATGGGTGTTCTTCCGTAATTTATAAACACCTGTTGATTGTAACGCCAGGAATGAAGACCGAGGCTACCATTTGCCATGTAAATACATCGCCGGTAACGATAGCTATTTGTTTAGCGCTACTTCCACGTTGATGTTCTTTCACCGATTTGTCAATGGCATCAGCGCAGACATAAGCAGTGGCGAGTAAGTAGGACGCACGAACTAAATTGCGATGTATAAGCGGACGGAAGGCTTCGCCGACCTCATTGGAATAACCTGAAGAAGCGGAGTTTAATAATTAATTGTTGTGGTATAAAATGCTTATATTTATTGGTGGATTCTTCCGATATGTTGAGGTGTGAATTGTAAATTTGCCACCTTCCTAAGACGAAAATGGCAATGAAGATGGCACAACGCCCAAACTCGTTTTTCTCCAAATCAAATTTGTCAAGAAATATATTTATTCAATAGTTTACAGAAAAAAAAATTATTTTCAAAATACATCAAATACTATTATTATAGGACTAGATAAGGTTATCGGAAGAATTGGTGGATGTTAATAGTTTTATGGCTGTTGTGAAATCGTTGCATACCAGAGCGCCATGTTGCAGTTTTATTGCATCATACAGAGCACTTTGAATAAGTAAGGTACGCAAGCACACATACTCACCTAAATATCGTAGTGGACTATCCCTATAAACATCGTATTCCTTGCTCATTTTGATAATAATTCAGCTTATTTATAAGCTTAAAGAAAAAAATACCAGCGGGGATTATTATGTAATACTAAGACTGAACAATTTGTGAACAAGTTAATAACTTACATGAGCATGCCAATTAAAATCATTTGTTATTGATGCCCTTCCTCCTCCAAAGAGTCCTAAGTATTCACTTGTTATTTATCTTTCCGTCATTTTTGTTTTTAATTTATCATCAACCTCAATTGTTGGCAAAGCTTGCTTGCATTGTGTACAATGCTTCCACAATGCTTGCTTGTTCCCTTTTTCTTTACATGTGAACAAAAAAACAAAAATTTACGAAATTGGGGAGCAAAACATAACTGATCAAAAGTGGCCAGATCAGGTCGATGGCAATTACAGCCATTTGTATTCCCAATATTTGGATTTGTAAAAAATAATCGAAAAGAGGTTCTTTGATTATATACATTTGAAATGGTTTTACACAGATTTTGGGAAAATTTCGATACAGTGTACTCTTAATCGGAAAATACCGGGTATGAGGCATGGCGCAACAATGATTTCACCATAGGTATGAGGGGTGTTAGAGGGCTGCATCCACATTCCAAAAGTGAACATCCCAGGTCGCGGAGGCTTCTATTTAAAAAGTCATGATATTTCATTCTCCCCGAACCGGTTAACTTTTCACTTTTGGTATGGGCGGGATAAAAAATTCCGGGTGAAGCTCAGGATAAGGCAAAATATTTCTGCGCGCAACTTCTTTCTGCGAAGGCGGTATAAGGCAATATATTTCAAAAGGCTTTCAAATTGAGAAACTTCAGAAAGCAGTTGCGTGTGCAGTCACACATCAATCCCGCCAATCGGTTTGGCAATTTTCTTCCTTTCGCCATCTTAAACCGCGAAAAAGCAACCCTGGCATTAGAAGAATAAAAAGGAAGAAGCGAACAGTATCGCAAAACGAAATCGTCACGAACCAAGTGACGAAAAACAACAATGCAACAAATGTCAAATGCGCAACGAATGGAAGGCGATAAGAAAAAGTACGAAATAGCGAAAATTCAACTGGAGGCATTAATTTAAGGAAAATATACGTCTTTTTATTATAAAATAACTTTTTCTTGGATTTGTTGTAATACAAAACAAAAGGTAAGGAAATTAAAAGTGAAATTGATATGCGAATCGAATCTCTGTGGCCATACCTAGATACAGGCATCAAAATGATCAACTGCAACGACTGCGAAAAAATTTATGAGTAGTCTGTGCGTGGATTAGTCATTCCTTAAATTTGATTGTGATATCGAGTTTAATGTTGCGAACTATTGGCTTTTTTTTATAAATTTACCTTGATATTTGCTTTAAAAAATAATTCAGATCGCTTATAACACTCGAAAGTAAACAAAAAATGAAAAACTTAACCTACGAAATCGATTTTGCCTGCACCATTTTTTTTTTGTACGTACCGCAGTGATTATAACTTTATAAGTGACATCATTTTATCGGAGATGTCAGCTGGGCAGGACATTTATAGTTGGAAAAACAATAAAGATTCATAGCGTATCTACGTATGTACTTACATACTATGTGTTTACCTTCACATTTAATGCGTTATTATTTTATGAACAACTTAGTGACGCGACAAGCATGGCCTCGGGCACAACTTTGCAAAAAGCTATCGACTTGGTGACCAAAGCGACGGAGGAAGATCGCAACAAAAATTATGCAGAAGCGTTGCGTCTGTATGAGCATGGTGTTGAATATTTTCTGCATGCTATCAAGTGTAAATACATATATTTTTAATAATTCGGATAAGATATATTTTCATTACACATCTTTTTAGACGAAGCACAAGGCGAGAAGGCCAAGGATTCGATAAGAGCCAAGTGTCTACAGTACTTGGACCGTGCTGAAAAACTTAAGGAGTATTTGAAGAAAGGCAAAAAGAAGCCTGTAAAAGAAGGCGAATCCAGTACCAAGTAGGAAACATATTTTTGAAATGAACTTACGAACTCTTTCTAACCAACTTCTAAAATATTTTAGGGATGACAAAGACAAAAAGGACGATAGCGATTCAGATGGTGAAGATCCTGAGAAGAAAAAACTGCAAGCTAAATTAGAAGGAGCTATAGTCATTGAAAAGCCGCATGTGAAGTGGTCCGATGTAGCTGGCCTAGATGCTGCAAAAGAGGCTCTAAAAGAAGCGGTTATCCTGCCAATCAAGTTTCCACATCTTTTTACTGGTAAACGCATACCCTGGAAGGGCATTCTGCTCTTCGGTCCACCTGGTACTGGCAAATCATATCTTGCCAAGGCAGTCGCGACTGAGGCAAACAATTCAACTTTCTTTTCCGTGTCCAGTTCGGATTTGATGTCTAAATGGCTAGGTGAATCTGAAAAGTTGGTCAAGAATCTCTTCGAGTTGGCACGTCAACATAAACCATCTATCATTTTTATTGATGAAATCGATTCTATGTGCTCGGCGCGTTCGGACAACGAGAATGATAGCGTGCGTCGTATCAAAACAGAGTTTTTGGTGCAAATGCAAGGTGTAGGCAACGACACCGATGGTATTCTCGTATTGGGCGCCACCAATATACCATGGGTGTTGGACTCAGCTATACGGCGACGATTCGAAAAACGTATTTACATTCCGTTGCCGGAAGCACAGGCACGTCTGGTAATGTTTAAAATACATTTAGGCAATACCACTCATGTGCTAACTGAGGCCGATCTTAAAGTGCTGGCATCGAAAACCGATGGGTAAGCATGCATTATTTATGGTGCAACTTGGAACTGAATTAAATTCCATTTGCAGCTACTCCGGCGCTGATATTTCAATAGTTGTTCGTGACGCACTCATGGAACCAGTGCGTAAAGTGCAAACCGCCACCCATTTTAAAGTAAGCTTCTTAATTTCTTACCAATAGAAATTTCGGCATTTAGTTCTATGCTTTTATATTTTATTAGCGAGTAACCGGTCCATCACCAACAAATAAAGAAGAGATAGTTGATGACCTGTTGGTGCCGTGTTCACCAGGCGATGAAGGCGCAACTGAAATGTCTTGGATGGATGTGCCCAGTGATAAATTATTTGAGCCTCCAGTTACTATGGTACAACTTAAAGAGTCTCTTATTTGTTCGTTGTTTGTTGTTTAACAAAATATATATTTTTTGTATTTTTAGCGTGACATGCTGAAGTCCTTGTCTCGCACCAAACCCACTGTGAACGATGATGATCTAGTAAAGCTGCGCAAGTTCACTGAAGACTTTGGACAAGAGGGATAAATTGTAGAAAAGCTAAGAATATTTGATTTTATTATTAAAATAAGTGAATACTGTACGCAAATTGATCAATTGTTGCCTATTTGATATAAAGCAAACAAACAAGAAATCGCGCTGAAGGACCGTCGCACAGTGGTTAAAAATTGGCATTTAGTGTTCATAATTCACTGGAGCCTTCATTTTTCGCCCAATTTGTTAATTTGTTTTAAGTTGAGCTCGATATTTTAATTTTTGTTTGTTTGTATAGAATTTTTTAGTGCAAAGTATATAAAAAGTAGCAATTTTGAAGAAAATCGACTCCTGTTCCAGTTAATAAATCTTACGTAATAAAAACTAGTTGAAAGCAAAGCAAGGACTACACCTCCAAAAAAAAAAAAATAAAAAATAAAAAATTAAAATCTGAAATGTTATAAAAAATGTTCCCAAAAATTATTTATTTATTTTTATTTTTTGGTTTTTATAAACATTTTGGGTATGCGGTTTTATAGATCATTAAATTTTAGTATAATAAAGTGCAAGCCGCGTTCATTTGTTATAATATAACAAACGCTTCTATTTCTCATTTAGCAATGCACATTTGCTCGAAATGTTAGCTAAAAAATATTGATAATCAACGCGATATTGTATTAAAATTTAATGATCTATAAAGCTGCATACTCAACATTTGTTTTTTTGAGCAGGAGAGTAGATTTTCTTCAAAATTGCTTCTTTTTCTGCACTTTGCATTAAAAAATTTAATACAAACAAACCAAAACTCAAAAATCGGGCTCAACTGGTCTTTCGCAAATTAAAATAAAAATTAAAAATTAACAAATTGAGTGAAAAATGAAGGCTCCAGTGAATTATGAATACTAAATTCCAGTTTTGAACCACTGTGCATCGGTGGCTGAAATTCATTAAACCTCTTTCTGACCAACTCGATATCTAAATTAAGCTATTGGTAAAAAACAGTTTTTGTAGTAAAATTTAAGTATTTTCTTCTGTCGTAATGTCCACATTGCATTTTTTATTTCATTTCGGCATTATAAATTTATGCGTCGTACTGAAGTGAAAAGCGTTTTCAAAATGGCGCTGTATCAAATGCTGAATATTTTTTTTTGTAATGAGTTCATTGTATGCGAATATGGAGTAGGAAAATCAGGTATTTTTTTATATGGACACTAGCGAGGTAGAATGTGTGTGTTTGCCATAATGTTTGGCTGGCTGACAAAATTGTAACAAAAATGTGTATGTAAAAATATGAAATTCTCACGCTTTGTTTCAAAAATAGTATATAAAAAGATATTCTTATTAAAAACAAATAATCAATAGTAATTCATTGTAATTGTACTTTGTTCTGGCATTGATGTTGTTCCCCTACAAATACGTCAAGCATTCGGTTCAACAGTTTTCTTATTCGCCTTCGCTATTTTCTATTACAAGCAAAGGATGTTGAATTTCGTAAAAAACAATCATTTCCTAAAAAAAAAAAAAAAAAATGTTTTCATTTCTACTTTGCATTGGCAAATTTGTGCTTACCCGGCACTTTTCCACATTTAGCGTGCAAATTGCTTGTGTGGTCTCTTTGACGGTGTTCACCTCTTCGCTGCGTACCAGACGTACATGTGGATAATTGTCTTCGCCTGTTTCGATCGCAAGGCAATTGTCGCGCACCAGAAAGGCTATTTGAAATGCGTTCTCAACGGTATTCATAAAATTTTTCGGATCGATAATTAGTTGGTAGTAGGGTATGGGTTGGCCGCCATTGCTTTTGAACATTCGAACCAATTGTTTATGCACAATATTCAACTTTTTGGCACCCTTGTCCTGGCGCTGCAGTTTATCGACGCGCTCTGGACGTTTTTCTTCCGCCTGTAAAGAGCAACAAATAGGCCATTTTTCACAAAAGCTTAACGGTAGAATAGTGTTCTGTTCAATTTTAGAAGTTTTTTCCACTTTTTGCTAAAAGTATAAATTTCACTACCAAAAATTCAAAATGCTATAAATTTTCTTTTCTCCGCGTGTATGCTGTCACAGTTTCTGAATGTGCCTAAAGTAACTTATATATTTTGTGGATTATAATATGACCACCACTGCCACCGTACCTTTTGTCGGCGCAGAATTGCGTTAATATCGTTCCGGAACATAATTAACACGCTTTAATACAAAAAAAAAAAAATAAAAAAATATGGCGATTTTCTCACTACATAAAATTTTTACTAATGTTAACCGCATTCATTGGAAATGTTCTACTAGATTGATTTAAAATTGTTCAAACCTTTATATCAATTTATATTGCCTTCTTAGCCACCTACCTGTTCTGCTTTCTTGCGTTGCTGTCGTTCCTTAACAATGCGTTCTTTTACCTCAACCTTATACGCGCCCAGCATTGTGGATTTCGCGCGTGCCATGCGAGCTATGGAACATGCGATCTCTGTGAAGGGCTTCCAATCATCATCGCCTTGCGTGGCGACAGTTTGGCGCTGAAAATGAAATTTGTATGAAATATTTGAAATGTAATGCAAGTACATATTTTTGGAATGCGATCTTACAATGGCATTCTGATAGATTTGTTCGCTGAAAGATCCCATTAGGGAGCTCTGTTGAAAAACTTTGGACATCAGCTCGTGATTCATTTTGAGCAATTGTACATCCCGCATCACCTCACTGGTGTGCTCTGCTCGATCAGTGACGCTCCCCTCGCCATGAATCAGATCGGACCTTTTTACAACGTTAGATAGTTCATTGAGTGTATCTTCGACACTTTGTACTGTTAAGCGAGTTTCTGTGAATAGAAAATGTAATAGGTATGCTACATTTTTGCAAAATGTTTGGCCGAATTTTAATTTTATTTAGAATCTTCGGGTATATTTAACATCAGCTACATCTCTTTTTAGTGTCAAACAGTAGTCTGCTAACATATTTGGACTCCATTTTCCCTGGTACCAAAATGCAAAATATAATGTCAGCACCGGACGTCTAGGTCGTTGAGTGCCATTGTCTACAAATTTCCCTCTTTTATTTTGGCATCGCGAGATATACCAAAAGGATTATTTACTTACATACACTCTGGGGGCATCTTTTTACGATGTGTAGAAACCACAATCGCAAAAAATACCGTTTTAATGTCAATAATATTTTAAGGTTAATTTATCAGAAGCACACTTTGGTAAGCAAAATACCAGTCAATTTTTAAGGAAAACTGAGGGTGGCCCTAAAAAAAAAACAACTTAGTTTTGTTTAACGAAACCACTGTTTAATAATTATTTGTCGAATCGACTCACATGTATTTAGCACTGATTTTTTGTTTTAAGTTTAATCAATCGTCAAAAAATATTTCATACGTTCTTAGTTTAATACTTTCTTATTAAAATAAAACAAAAGTTATTCGCTTAAATATGTTGTAGTTTAAATAATGGAATTTCAATTAAAAAACAATATGCATTTTCACGGCATGAAAACTCCAATCAGAAATAGGCTTAACATAGATACCTTGGAGACAATTTTACTTACAAAACAACTATTTAAAAATAAAACTTCTCTTGATTTTGGTGCGTCTTGTAGATAATTATAAAAATGCAAGAAGTATCTGACTAAGGAATAATCCATCCATGCTCGATATATGTACATGTTTAGATATGTGTTTTATGAAAAGTACTCAGAATTGTCAGTTTTATATATAGTATTAGAAACGACCGCCCTTAAAAATAAGAATGAAGTGCCTTAAATAGTAAAAGATATTTTTGGGGAATATCATTGGAAATAGGGGGATATTTTTGAGGAATTTGGGGGAATTAGCCTCAAGAGTGGGCATCCCTGATCTAAATATCGGTATAAGGCACCCGTTTACGAAGAAAATAAAGACATCCACGAAATTTTCAAAATTCAAAACAAATTATTAGGGATTATTACCAGGATTTTAATCCCACAAGTTAGATACAATCCCAAAAGTTAGATACAATTTTGGCTTCAAATTTTGGTTATCATATTATTGGAACTTATTCATACAAATTCACAAACTCGCTGAGTTAAACCCAATTTTAAAAATTATTATTTTTTTTTTTAAATCTTGGTAGCGATTCTTATTTTTTTTTTGTTTAATTTTGAAATTTTCGTGAATGGTCTGCGTCCAAACTAAAGGACTTTAATGTTAATAGTTTTAGAGACCCCCCAATATATCGAGCCCTAACCGCCAAAATATCGTAAGCGACATTTTTTTCAAAATTTTCTTTTTGATGCAGAAATGTATCTAGATGCTCTAGGAATATTTCTGCATCAAAAAGAAAATTTTGAAAAAAATGTATTTACATATCGAGCCCTAACCGCCAAAATAACGTAAGCGACATTTTTTTCAAAATTTTATTTTTGATGCAGAAATGCATCTAGATGCTCTAGGAATATTTCTGCATCAAAAAGAAAATTTTGAAAAAATGTCGCTTACGTTATTTTGGCGGTTAGGGCTCGATATGTATATATGTATATTAGTAAAAGATTGGTGCACTGCATCTGTTCCTCGCAAGTAATTCGAATAAAACTCGCACGCGTGTATGTTTTTACATCTATATATACATATGTACATACATACATATAAACATATGTACGTAAATATAATGTTTAAAGCAACTTTATCTTCAGTTAATTAAAGGGCGCCAAGAATTTAGTCTCCTTGTTTGAAATACTCCTACTCAATATAATAGTACATATGTACTTACATACATATTTATGTGCACGCCCGTTTTGCAAAAGGTTCCTCTTTGTAAATTTTAATCAATAACGCAATTTTGCATTGAGAATCCATGGTTTATCTGCGAAATCAAGAGCTGAGGATACAAAAAAAGGTTTTGCACCTCAAAGTGTTCTACATGGATAACTACATAGATAGATATAAGACTCTCAAATTTTTATCTTAGAGCGCGCCTAGCGTAGTTGGCAATACTACCAATCGCTGGCTTACTCGCGAAATGGCGAGCCACCACTAGATATGTGAAAAATGCACCATTTTGAATTCAGTGGGGTTTTTACGTTTTTTAATATTACCATTTTATTTCATTTGGTATCAGGAAATGACTACCGCCCTTATGAATTTTAGTTAT